GGAGAAGATTATTAAAGATTTTTCCTATATATCTCAATGTAAAAATTGGATTCCCTATTGTAGCCCCACCCTACCCCTGGGGGGTCATGATTTGAACAATTTAGATTCTACACTACCCCAGAATGCTTTTACATATAAGATTTCAGCTTTTCTGGCCCTGGGGTTCTTGAGGAAAAGATTTTTAAAGAATTTTACTATATATTTCAATGTAAAAATTGGATTCCCCACTGTGGACCCGCCCTACACCCGAGGGTCATGATTTGAACAATTTAGAATCTACACTACCCAAGGATGCTTCCACGTAAGTTTCAGCTTTTCTGGCCCTGTGGTTCTTAAGAAGATTTTTAAAGATTTTTCCTATATATCTCAGTGTAAAAATTGGATTCCCTACTGGGGCCCTGTCTTACCCCCGTGGGTCATCATTTGTATAATTTAGATTCTACACTACCCCAGGATGCTTCCACATAAGTTTCAGCTTTTCTGGCTCAGTGGTTCTTGAGAAGATATTTTAATGACCCTACCCTATGTTTTGTCTTTTTTTGAATATCTCCCCTTGAAAGGGGGTTGGCCCTTCATTTTAACAATTTAAACTCTCCTTTACCAAGGATGCTTTGTACCAACTTCGGTAAAAATTGGCTCAGTGGTTCTTGAGAAGAAGTTGAAAATGTGAAAAGTTTACAGACAGACAGACGACAGACAACAGGTGATCAGAAAAGCTCACTTGAGCTTTCAGCTCAGGTGAGCTAAAAAAAGGTTTCCATCCTTATTACAATATTTGTAAATGAAAACTTTTATTTTCATGGAACAGAATTACATGAATGAGGACATACATGTGCATTTTTTCAAAGTCAGTCAGGCTACAGTTGTGTGGAAGTTAAGCAGTGTGTGCATGAACATGCACACTAACATTTTTTTTAATTTTATTAAATGGATTAAATGTATTTTTCTAATGTATAACTATTGTCAGTAAACATGCTTTTTACCTGTATTATTAATTTACATGTAATTTGACAATGTTGAGACTAATCAGTGCAAATTCATACTTTTCAGTTGATGATTTATTAGGCTGCACCTTAGTTTCATTTATTAAAAAAATAAAATGAGCAATTATACTTTCACTCTAAATGTTCATGCAAATTGTGAACACCTCTTAGATCCATAAAATATTAGTGATTTGGCACCTTCTCTGAAAACCCCAGTGGGGGTTATTTGTCCCTTTTGGACAGTTCTAATTGTAAAGCATTAAGCCCTCTACCAAAATTGGTGAAATTCATGGCCCCAGGGTCAGGGGTTCTGGAGTTAGGGTGGGGCTCTAATGATCATATATTGAAATGCATAAATTCTTTAAAAATCTTCTTCTCTCCCCCTGTATATGAAGCAGATAAATTAGATGCAGGTTTATTATAATCAAGGGTGCCTCTTCCAAAAATGTTGAAACATCCTCAGGTAGTCTAGATTGAAGTTTAATCAAATCATGACTCCCAGTGGTAGGGTGGGGCCACAATGGATGATCAAAGTTTTACATGGGAGTACATTGGAAAAATCCTTCTCCAGAACCACTGGGCCAAGAAAAATGAAACTTATGTGGAAACATCTTCCTGTAGTGTAGATTCAAGTTTGTTCAAATCATGAACCCAGGGTGTAGGCTGGGGCCACAATGGACAATGAAAATTTTATGTTGAAATACATAGGAAAAATCTTGAAAAAATTCTTTTCTCAAGAACAACAAAGCCATGAATGGTTATATTTACATGGAAGCATCCTCAGGTAGTATAGATTCAAATTTGTTCAAATCATGACTGTGGGGATAAAATGGGGCCACAACGGATGATCAAAGATTTACATATGAATACATAGGAAATATCTTTGACAATTTTCTTCTCAAGAATAGCAAAGCCATGATTTGTCTTATTTATATGGAAGCATCCTTGGGTAATGTAAATTCAAATTTGTTGAAATCATGACCCCCAGGGGAAGGGAGGGAACACAAAAGGTGATCAAAGTTTTAGTTAGGAATATATAGGAGAGACCATTTAAAAATCTTCTTCACAAGAACAGCAAAGCCATGATTAGACATATTAATACAGAAGCATCTTCAGGTACTAGAAGTAAGATTCAAGATCATTCAAATCATGACTCCTGGGGGTAGGGTGGGGCCATAATAGAAAATAAAACTTACAGGAAAAAAATCTAAATGGAGGACAGATTTGAACTTAATTTATGAGTTGTAACTGAATACTAGACTAATTTTTTCTTAATTTATTAGTTATTACTGAATACTAGACTAATTCAATGATCCTGATCACCCTATTTCTTCTATCAGTTTATTTTATACTCTATGGATCCTCTATGGATTGTTGTTTTATACTCAGGTGACCATTAAGGCCCTTGGGCCTCCTGTTAAAACTTGTGGTGCCAGGGCCAGGGGTTTTGGTGTTTCGGGGGGGGGGGGGGGGACCTACTGATAATATAGTGAAAATTTTTTTTGAAAATCTTCAACTTAGTGCATAGTTATTATGAGCAAGAGTACCTCTTCAAAAGATTGTGAATTTCATGACCCAGGGTCATAGGTTTTAGTGTTAAGGTAGGGCTGTGTTGAATCTATAGTGAAAATGTATTTTTTCTTTGAAAGTCATCTCTGCACCCGGGCATCTCAGAGGCAGAGTAAAATTTAATATCTATACTTATAAATTAATATATTTTGTAAATAAACTCCGAAACCGGTGTACCAGAGTGCTTACTTACTCCTCTAACATTACACTATATACAAGATGATGTCCGTAAACTATATTTAGATTTCACTCGCATAGTAAGTATCATACATTAAATTAAAAGACTACTTTCAGTTTCTATAAACAGCCACGAAATAGCAAAAACGTGAGTACAGTGGCTTTTCCAGTTGGCGGATCTAAGTTACTGGCAATTTTTAATGGAATTGACAACAAGCAATCATTTATTTATTTCATAAAACATCATCACTGAATTATTCAATCAAAACTTGATTTAGATGATATAAAAGAAATAAGTTGTGAAAACCGATTAAAAAGGGAAATGTGCCAATTATTTTTGTCATTCACCGATCATAATATTGACGGAAGCTTCTAGAACATCATATTGCACCGAGCCCGATGTTAAAAAGAAAAACGAGGCGATTAATTTATAGCTGCATGAACAGAAAAAAAGCTTTTGTGTGAATGGTCATTGAAATAATGGTAAATAACTGATAAAGTTGTGAATACAATTAAAGCTGTAAAATTTTTATATATAATCATTACATTTCATTTATTTTCCTAAATACAGTCTTTTGTATCAAATTCTTGGCATATTCATAGGGCATTAAAAGCTATTAATTTTTACACAACTACTTGGGTCTTGGTTTATAAATATGTATGTACCTTATTGATATGTAAAAAAAAGTAAAGTACATTTTTTACATATCAATAAGGTACATGCAGTACTTATAAACCAAGACCAAAGTACCTGTGAATTCCCCTCCCCCCCTACAAAAAAGCATATTGAATTCGCTGCTTTTATTATCTGAAGTACAACATCCAGAATATATAACAGGTTTCACAATAAACGTCAATTAATGAAATTGTTATTTTTCAGGTTTTTACAAAAAGGGAGAAGGGGTGGAGACGTACATGTATAACTTCATGCAGGATTTTGAACAAAGTATTTCTTCCTGTCATAAGCCTGTAGGCCGTCAGTAGAAATTACAATATATATTATTGGAATTTTTCTGTCGATAGTGGTATAAATTCAATTCCCTTTGCTTGCACGAGATTTCAGCTAGTTCACCAGATTTTTTAATTTTCTGGACCATTTGGTCAGGTGTCAAGTATAAAATAAACTGATAGAGGAAGCTTTGTTGCCCAAAAGCAAGAGAAATAGGATGATCAGGATCAATGAAATAATTAGTGTAGCATCCAGTAAGACCTCATAAATTAAGTTTAATCTGTCCCCCACTTATCACTGTCACAGTGCAGACTATTAACAAACTATTAGTTCTTCTGTTTTATTCAAATCCAATATTATAACCTCTTACAGTGGCCTTTCTTGGTCTTTGAAGAACATTTAATAAGTTATTTTTGTGTCATTTTTTTCTATTATTTACAAGTCTACCTGATCATTAAAACTTTGAAAGTACTTTTTATATTATACGATAAAAATTCTTGCATAATTCTCATATTTTATTAACCTTTCATTGACAAATATATTATTTACAGTGATTATTAATCAAAAATGAATGGCAAAGGGGAATAACTTCTGTTAGTAGAATACAATTTGATAGAACCTTGTCAGGACCAGAACACTTGACCAATTTGTCTAGATGTTCAAAAATCTTATAAAAATACCATTGCTTATTACAACTTTTACTCTGCCTCCAATATGTCCAGGAGCAGAGAAGATTTTCAAAGAAATAATGCATTTCCACTACAGATTCAACACAGCCCTACCCTAACACCAGAACCCATGACCCAGGTTCAGGAAATTCACAAATTTGGAGGAGGTACCCTTATCATCATAACTATGCACTAAGTTGAAGATTTTCAAAGAATTAACCCCCCCCCACCCCCCCCCCCCCCACCCCCCGGAGAAACAACAGAACCCCTGACCCTCGGACCACAAGTTTTAAAAATTTTGTAAGAAGCACCTTTGTTCATCATAAATATGCACTTTGTTTATCTGCTCAACACCAAAGAGCAGACAGGATTATTTAATAGAATTAATGCATTCTCATTATATTATCAATAGAGCCCTACCCTTACACCAGAACATCTGACAGGGGTCATGAAAATCACAATTCTGGAAGAAGCACTGTTGCACATTCATTTATTCAATGAGACTTAAAAGGATTTAGAAGAAGAGAAATTTCTATTTACCCTCTCAAGTTTGAAATATCAAAATTACCATCCACATAAAGCAATGGGTCTAGTCCCAGATTTATATCTTTGTATTTCTTTAACTTTAAAATCAAAATTTGGATTTTTTTTCAGTCGGAGTGATTTAAGTGTGAGCAGGACTCTAATAGCTGGTGGATTTGCTGGAATGTTTAACTGGTTGGTTGCAATTGCACCTGATGTACTGAAGTCACGGTTACAGACAGGTCAGAAATTTTATGGTATCATTGTAGAATATATGTATATAAGCTATACTGCAGATTTATTTGTCATCTACCTCTTTTGTGTGATTATAGTTTTTAGATCGGTATAGCAGAAAGCTCAAATTTACTTTTCTAAACACCTTTGTCATGCATCCATCTATCTGTTCATCTATAAACTTTCTATATCTTTGACTTATAATTATTACAAACCACTGTGTTAATTTTAATCATAATTTGTAAAGATGAAACTTATGTGAAAGCCTTCTGAGATATACTCTAAAGAAAGGTCAAGTCATGGCCTTTGGGGAAGGATGGGTCCACCATACAGAATTAAAGTTTCATAATGAAATGTACAGAGAGAACTCTCAAGAACCACTGCACCAGAAAAGATGAAGTTTATTTGAAAGTTTCTTAGGGTAATACATGTATATCTTCTAATTTAGGACCCCAGAGATCTGGTGGGGCCACAATAGGAGATAAAAGTTTTGCATGTAAATATATAGGAAAAAATATTTGAAAATCCTCTTTTCAAGAACCACCTAGTCAGAAAACATGAGACTTATATGAAAGCTTCTTGATATAGTTTAAATTCAAGTCATGGACCCCAGGGTAGGGGGGCATTAATTAAGGATCAAAGTTTAACAAAGAAAAATAAAGGAGAAAATGTTTAAAAATCCTCTTGTCAAAAACCACTGGATCAGAAAAGATAAAAACTTACAATAAAGCTTCTTGACAAAGTGTAGATTTAAGGTAGTACACAATAGATAAGCCAAATTTGTCCTTCCTGTTCAAATTTTGATATTTTGTTCTAGGATACAAAATCTCTCCTTATATTTTATATGAAAGAGAAATTCAACCATACATTTTTTGCCCACGTAGTTTGAAATATGGCCTATCAGACCCCTGTAAGAAGATTGTGAAATCAGACAGCTGACCTGAGATTGTGCATTTTATTTAAAATTAACCAATTGATCTTTTGCAAACTTGTGTGATTCTGTTTATAAAGGCAACCTTTTTGTACTAAAATCTAGTGAAACATTTTGATACCAGTATATTTGAATAAAATATGATGTAAAAATAGATATGCATAGCCCAGGGATTGAAAATTCACATGTAAATATGCCACACGTTAAATTCTCCTTAAAGAAAATGTATAATTCAATTTTTACAAAAAATCAACAGAATAATTGAAATGGAACCCAGATCAAAATACCGTAAGTTTTGGAAGATAGGATGATACTTTTTTTTCTCAGAACCGCTGGGGTCATCCTATTTAATGAATCAACCTATCTAAGGCTCAAGTTTACGAAAAATACCCCCAAATCAGTAAAATTTACATCAATTTTAAAGCAAATCTGTGCCATTTTTGTATTTTTTAAAAAAAATTTTACCAAGAAAAAAATAATAAACAATAAAGAATTAAATATTTATTTCATTGATTTCTTACAAAATAATTAGTTCCATTAAATATCCGTCGATGTACAAAAAAAACTTTAGTTATTATATCATCTAGTAAATAATTTACAACATATTGTGTCCATCTTGTAAAGTTGGAAGTCGCAATCGTTTACTAAAAATAAAACCGCAACAGTATCAAAGTTTAAAATACGGAATAGTTTTCACAGTCGCAATTGTAATCTTTTTTTTACCATTTATTTGTAACGATTAATTGAAATAGTATACCTAAATATTTTTTTCATTGTCTTGTGATATTTATTTAAATGTAAATTGCGTGAAATAAATTGTTGCCAGTAAATTTCTAAAATTATTTACCAAATATACCGCTAGTCATAACTATTTTGTTTTACATCCCAAGGGGTAAACTGAATAATACAAAGATTGGCTTCTAATAGAATTTTAATTGTCTGACAGATAAAGGGATATACACTGTGTACACAAAGATGTTAACACCTGTGTTGGTTTAAACACCTGCAGGGTATGATTAACAGATCCTCGTGCCGTTACAGGGGTATTAGTGCTATACATCATTGAACTAACAAAACTGTGAAATTCATGATGACTGTTAAATTGCAAATGTACTCTCAGTTAAATTTATTTTTTACAACAATACCTCAAGCAAAATTATAGCATGTTAATATGATTAATTTCAATTGCTCACTGTTACATGTACCGGTAATTGTCATTTGCGTGTTTTAGCAAATCCCTGGACAAGAAATATAAAAATGGCAGTCATCGAAGCTAATATTGTACCCAGGTAAATAATGCTGGAATAAAAGAATGTGTCCACGATGTTCTAAAATGGAAATGATTATTGTTTGATTTAGGGTATTTCCCTAATTATAGCTATTGTATACTACCGTATTTATGTGCTTAACGACAGAGTCAAACCACGATGGCATTGAACAGGCAAGTTGGAGAAAATACGTTATATCACAATTCAAGGAAGTTTTAACTATGTTTGTATAAAACACTATTAAAATGCTGTACTCATAAAAATACCAGTTTATTTTCTCAATATGTTAATATCATGGGTTAAGTTAAAGAGGTTTACATGTTCTGATACTATCTACGTAAGAATCTCTAGAAAATCGATAAACAAAGCTTTGTCCTATCTTCCGAATTCATCCTATCTAAGGATTTTTTAAAAATTATGGCTGAAAATGAGCCTTTCAACCTATATACCCCATCGACATATACTTAAAAAATTACGGTATGTCAAAATGAGGAAATTTGAACCAGCAGTTTCAGATATTTTGATGATTTCAAATAAATCAAATGCAAAAAAAAAGTAAAGATTCAGTAGATGATGTCACTATATTTGACCTTTGACCTCTTAATATGACATTTTTATTGTACAAAAAGAATGGAGACGCTGTATAAACATGTCCAAGTATCAGGTCTCTACTATAAATAAAAAAATCAAAAGTTACTTTGCATTTAAGGATGTACAACACACCTACCTAAAAAAATTTCCTGTCGTTTAATTTTCGCTATTTTTGTCTATTTTATACATGACAATACCTACTATGTGTATGTACTTTTTGGTCAAAATCGTTCGAGCCGAATTTGGACAGGAAGTTCCTAAAGTTACCCCCCTTTGGCTGATCACGAGTTCAAAAAAATTTCAACCAACTAACTATAAAATCCCTTATTTTAAAATATTTAAGGTTAGCCTAACTTTCAAAATTTGCTGATTCGTTCGTTTAACTATTAAACACACAAAGTGATTTTGTAGAGGTACACTTCGAGAAAAACGATTATGAAGAATTTAAACTGAAAAACCATGGTTCATTTTTGCATTGAAAATGCGTGATTTTCAAATGAAGTATCTTTTTATGAAAAAATCTGTCGTTTAATTTTGAAAAAATAATTAATTCTTGTAACTGATGATCAAACTGTTCTTGAGAATTTTTTGAAAATTTTTTAAACGACGCATTTTGAATTTATAGCGGAAAATATCTCATCCCCTTATCTCCGTAAGTTACGTTTCTCAAAGCATCTTTCAGACTTGGGACAAAACCAATGCTATGATTCTACAAATACAAAATAAAAATTCCTAGCTGGAAAATATCTTTTACTTAAAAAATGTAATGTACATTATACTTATCACAACTATAAAACTTTACATCTGCATTTAAATGAAGATGAATAAGCAATTTATGAAATTTTAAGACACCCCCTCCCCCCTCTCCATTCTTCTCTGCAATGCAGGACATTCGAGCTTGAAAAAAAAAACATAGGTTACATCTGCATAATATATATAATTGCATATTGAACTCCTAAAGTAATGTCCTTCAATTGTGTATACAGATTAAATATTGATTACTAATATTTTTTGTTATTCTAAATATTATTATTTTTTTTATCTTTATATTTTGTAAAACTATTTTTCTAAGGATTTTATGACCACGTGTCTGGTTTGGAGTTCATGCACACAGGTGCAATTTCAAACCTTTATATGACTTCTACTTGCATTGAATATTATTTTTAAGTGAATCAACAGTGGTGTATGTACAACTCTCTTGTGAAGAAAATGGGCCCCTCATCCAAGCATACCCTGGATGTGATGGATGAGGGACATTCTTGGAGTACAGCCTGAGGCTGAAGAGTATCAATAGCATATTTCTTGACCAATAATATGCGGGCTCGCTATTCAAATAAATTAAAACCCATGTGACATCACCAGTATAAATACCGACCGCCATGCCTCAATCACTCATAATCTAAAGCAAATTTATTGTCAATGAATAAAATAAAAAAGAGGCGGGTATATTAATTAATGTACTAATCCATGCAATCTCACATGGGTGGGAAAGTTGATACTCTTCAGCCTCAGGCTGTACTCCAAGAATGTCCCTCATCCATCACATCCAGGGTATGCTTGGATGAGGGGCCCATTCTTTTCATACAGCCTTCAGCTTTCAGAGTATCAATAGCATGTTTAAAGAATTGACAATAAATTGAATCAAACATTTATTTGGAAAAATCATCATATCAGTCACAGTTTAATACACCATTCATATAAGAATTAGAATCATTATCTTGAATGTCTCTAAAATAAAATTTTCTGAAGTTCTTCGATGAGGACCAATCTCCAGTCTTCAAAATGTTTGCTAAGGAAACACCACTTTTCAAAGCTGCAGAAGAGGATTCTGCACGAATTGAATGTGCCTTAAAAGTACTTATATCTATTCCTGCACTTTCCATAACACACTTAATCCACCTAGCTATAGTACTTGTGGAAACTTTATTGAATGTCCTAAATGAGACAAGAAGTTGGTCACACTTTCAAAATTTACTTGTTCTTTTAATATATTCCTGTAAAGTACACACAACATAAAGTTTTTCATCCTTGTATCTATTAAGGGTAATAGAAAATGACCTTCGTGGTCTAGATGTCTTAAGTAACGACGTAAAATAAAAAACAACTCTCTCTGAACTTAACTTCATATTCTTAATATCCAAGTTTACAAGAGTTTGTGCCCTAGCTGCTGATAGCTTCCAAGTAAGTTGTTTCAAATCTAATGAATCCAAAGGAAAAA